AATTTGAGCGCTTTAGGATGACAAAAGTATCGTCCACGTACCTTAGCCAGAGTTTAGGTTTTGCGACCGGAAGTGTGGTTTCTTCCAATGCTTGCATCTACGCTTCGGCCACTAGTTCAGAGATCGGTGAACCCATTGGCGTTCCTGTTATTTGTTCATAGGTTTGGCCGTTGAAATTGAAGTATGTCGTGAGGCAAAAATCCAACAACTCCATCGTGTGGATGGCATCTATGTTATTGTTCGTGTCTGAGGATCCGCGTTGGTCTAGTAGTCTTGACATCGTTTGCTTCGCCAGATTGGTGTTGATTGAAGTGAACAAAGCTGTTACATCAAAGGAAACCATGATTTCGTCCTCTTCTATTACTGTTTCCCCGAGCTTAGACAGGAATTGTTCTGCAGATTGTATGGAATGTTCCGAGCCAGAGATCAGGTGCTTCAATCTCTTCCAGATTTCCTTGGAAAGTTTGTAATTCGGAGCTCCAGGTAACGACACGATAGGGCGGAGGGGGACTCCACTTTTGTGAACTTTTGGCAGGCCGTAGAATCGCGGTAACACCGAATCCTCTGGTTTCATCTTGCTGTGTTCTAATTTTTTAATCCAGATTTTGTAAGGTGCGTTTGATTTTGCTTTCCAATCGTTTTGCGGGATCTTCATTGGCCGGTTGATAGGTGTTCACATCTTGGAGAAGTTCTTTCGCTTTCTTCATATAATCAGCTTTGTCCAATACAACAGTAAGACGTCCTTTATCAGCCGGTAAGATAACTATCTTTAGCTTTCCTCAGGTTTCTCAACGCTTTTTGTTCACTTGTGTTGAACATGTTGGTTTCACTCTTTTGCCTCAGTGCTGATATGATACTGTGCCTGATCGTGTGTTGGGCGTCAGCTGTGATGTTGCATGAACTCAGTGTTGTTTCAAGCTCTGCGAGGAAATTGATGGGATTGGAGTCTTTGTAGTTGAATTGCATGCCACGAACAACTACTGCTTTTTCTACATCAGACAGGGTTCATTTGGATAAATTCCTAATCCATCATCTTGCTTCACTGCTTTAGGTTTTGAAATTCTCTCTAGTTTCTTTTCCAGTTTCTGCTTTGTGTTTAGTTTGGTGTTGTGCGTTTTGATGGATATCGCCTTTTCAAGCTCTTTAGTCAATTATGTGCCGAGGTTGGATAAGCATAACTCCTTTTGGGAAGTCAGTCGTTCGGAGATACTTTTGCCTTCGGTTATGTGCGTCGGTGATCAGCATACGTAACATGCGTCGTCCGTGTTCTTCGGTGAGTTTCCAGGCCAAGGGCTTGGTATTCGGGGAAGAACTCAAGCAACAGACACTCAGATCTAGACACTGCCTATGAAGCACTGAGAGTCAAAACAATAATCCGCCCCAGATCATCAGGACAAAGAAACGTCATTGAGACGGACTCTAGCCAACCGTACGCAAGTGTTGACTACACGGTCAGCTCACGTGGATCAATCGAGTCCTGACGTTCGAATCAAGTGATCAATAATCACTGGTGGTTTTGTGAGTAGTGTACTTTTCGTAGAAAGTAGAAGCCACGATTAAACTTTGCACCATAATCTGCCTCGACGGGGAATCGAACCCCAGACACATGGATTACCGCTCCGCTGCTCTACCACTGAGCTACCGAGGGCTGACGATCAGGTGCGCAATTTAATACATGACTTCTGCTTGGTTCGCGACGTATTGCCAATAAGCTCACAGTATCTGTCCTGGTGTTGCAGATTGGCTCACTCACTCGTCACTTCCCAATGAACCGAAGTATCTGTCCTCCTGATGTTCAAAGGGCGATGATAAATTACCGGTGGTTTTGTGAGTAGTCTAATTTTCGTAGAAAGTAGAAGCCACGATTGAACTTTGCATCATAATCTGCCTCGACGGGGATCAATAATCACTTGGATCTGTAAGTGACCCGCATAAATCCCCCTGATGATGTTGTCTAGCCTGACGATGAAACGTTTGCAGCCAAATCAGACAGTTTGGAGAACACCCGCATACGCACATCCGCCTCCCGAGCTACAAATATTCTCACGAATCAGTTTAGTTACATTGGCAACTGCAGCAGTAATGATGGGCGCATAGCGACGAGTCAGTTCACATATTGCAATAGTTACTGCTGTCTTCTTGAATCTGCAACATCTTTGGCGACAATCTTTTTCTCCGTCTGAAGGGCCGTGCTTACATGGCCACAGTGAGCGCATTCCTACTCTATCGGATTGAGACGACCCCTTCGATCTGAGGATCTGAAGCGCCTTCAAGTCTTCGACCATCTTTGCCTGCGAACCATTGCTGGTATCCGATGGCACCAGCGTGTCCTTAACGATATGTGTAAGCTAGTGGTAGGCGGTGACAATCGGTCTAGTTCCTTAGAACCACAGACTGCACTGAATAAGTTGCGTTGGCTTGGACACTTGCTACCTATGTTTGGTCACCGCTTACCGAAGATAGTCTTCTTTCGTTTGCCAGATGTAGGGTAGCGCAGACCTCGGGTTGGGCAAAAGTTGACTTGGCAGCGGGAAATGAACTCACTGACAATAAAATGGATGCCGTCGGTCCGTCTCGCCTTCAGACTGTAATCCATGTGACCCGCCTTGTGCTTGGCTCGCGACGTTACAGGACATGGCTCGTAGTCGTCTCCAGTGGCTTGTATTACGTCGTATCGTAGTCGGACTGCCTGTTTGAAGTGTGTTCGGTACTGATTTATCTGCGGGGTAATGGCTGACTATAACACAGAGCAATGAAAGTCGAAAGGAAGCTGTCTCGCTAATACCGCCTTATCTTTGCACGGTAGCCAGCTGTTTGTGACGGTATATTGTTGACACAGCCTAGATGACTTGGCCCTGCATGTTTGCTTGGGATATTTAGGTTTTCGGGTTACTCCCCCTTCTCTTTCTCATTGAATGTTGAATACTGAAACTAGAAAGCTAGTAGACATGTGTCTGTGTTGCTCCATCGTAATTAGTTCGGACACGTGCGCAGATTCACGTCACTGATTTCTGAGCCTCTGCTGCATGTTACAGCTGCGTCATATGCTGTTCGGGTTCGATGCGCTCCCTGTATCTGAAATCTGCGAAGTGGGTGTCTAGGAGTTACTTGAACTCCTACACCAATTTCGCCTCAACAATTTTATCAGGCAGTATTTCACCGCTCGAAGCATAGCATTGTTCTTCGTTCTTTAAGTCACCGTGGTTGTACGGCAGCGAATCTTCGATTCAGATGGCTGATGTACTGCTGTTGATGATGTCAGTGATGATGATAAAGAATAAATAAATAAACGGTTGGTTCTTCGACGTTGCGAGGCACAGTCCAACTGAGTGGTCTGATCTATCTGTACAATAAGCCCGCATAAAATTGCGCTTGTTTTGTATAACGAATCCCATATGGGTTTTTGAATTGATTAGCAGCTTGATAGTATTAGAGAGAGTAAGATACTGGAAATAATAATAAATGCAGATTTGGCCAAAACTTCAAGCAAAGTAATACGGCCATCCATGGAACCGTCCCCAAGGGACTTGCTTCCATGAGAGGTATTCCCTCGATGGGTTTATCCCGCACTTCCATTCTCCAACTGGCTGTGTGCCGGTGTGACAAAATAGCATGCAATCCATCACCTATCTCACAAATGTCCTTTTTATTGAGGGTGTTTTGTGCCTGCATTATGGGCGATGATGCCACATAATGTTCCGATATGCGGATCATTCAAGTATGACATTTTTATACGCCAGTGAGTCAGTTGCAATATATCTTGCGTGAGTATAATATTTTTAACGGAAGCTGTAATCCGTCACCTCAAGAACTCAGCCCATTTGTGGCCAACAACGAAGTAACGAAGACTATAAAGTATCAGGAATTAAAATACATAATACTAATATCTACCTTTTGCAGATAGGCCAATCACAAGTTCATGGGAAATCATAGTGCATACCGACGATGGTACAGAAATTTCGAGAGAAAATTGGTTGCATTCCGGCCAGGGTTTTGCAAGGAATAAAGAGGAGTAAGGATAATCCAAATGCGTTTGATAGAGTATGCAGTTGTGGTTGCTTTATCCCAAAAGACGATCAATTGAAACCATCGGAATTGGAAGACGATCGGTTCATTAATTCCAGACAATCGATCGCAAAATCCGTTATCAGTCGCTCAGTGGAAACATGAAAAACGAGATGTACAGATGAGTATAGAAAGTTAAAAAATGGCAGGTTTCTAGTGATAATGGAAATAAAACGCAGTGATAGACTAATCATCTTCATCAAATGGCTGCCGTGGTCTATTTTATTTCAAATATTACCCGGTCGTTCCTCAAACAATCTATCATCGTCCATTTGCAAACTTGACATCTCTCTCACTTTTGCTGGTGTCAGGGAAATCCTAGTCATTTTTTCGTCCTTTTCTGACTCCCTACAGTGTGCATGGTGCTGAGTTATCTCTAGCATTAGTTTAGTCATGACGTAAGGCAGCGAAAGCTGCTTGAAAGATGTCTGGTTTACGAATCGGGACTATGCGGGGCCGGCAGCTTATACGCGCCGTGAATGTTTTCTTCGAATTTTGGCCCCTAGAGTATGTCCCCTTATTACATCTGTCTCATTTTTCACTAGTTTCCTGGCATCAAAGCGCATGTTAAGCTCACTTGTTTTACCATGTCATTGCTCCTACAAATAAATCCTCTGAAGTTGATCACTTTTCTCTTTTCTTAGCACACTCGGTTATTTACTCTTCACCAACAGCTCACTGTGTTGCCTAGTTATCGTTTTGATGCGCTGCCATCCCCATGAGCGATTCATGTTATGTTGGATGCAATGAACCAAACACATCTCAAAATGCCTCATTTTCTCACTTAGCTATCGTTACTTTGTTTTCCCAATTTTCGGTCCCATGATACTTTTTCACCTTTTCCTCACTGTTTGCCTTGACTAGCTTCGCAATATGATCGAAACCCGCCGTCCACTTCTTTGTACATCAGTTTCCCTTATCACTTCTTTTACTAGGTTCTTAATCATGAATTGCGTGCCATTCGTATGGCGTGCGTTAAATTGGAGTTAACATATCAACCGGGGATCACGTTTATCGTGGTGCAAAAACGCCATCACACTCGACTCTTTTGTGCTGATAAAAAGGATCAGATGGGAAAATCGGGGAATATACCGGCGGGTACCACCGTGGACCAAATAATTACCCATCCCACTGAGTTCGACTTCTACTTGTGCAGTCACGCTGGCATCCAGGGTACTTCGCGTCCCAGTCACTACCATGTTTTGTGGGACGACAACCGCTTCACTGCCGACGATATTCAGAATTTGACTTATCAATTGTGTCACACCTATGTGCGTTGCACACGTTCCGTGTCAATTCCTGCTCCAGCGTACTACGCACACTTGGTGGCCTTTCGTGCTCGGTATCATTTAGTGGAAAAGGAGATTGACAGGTTAGTTCCTTCGTGTTCCCGATACTCCCTGCTTTTCACCGTAATGCTACAACGTTTAAGCCACCATATGATCCGCCGAGTCAGATTGCGCCGGGTGTTCTTTAGGTGGCGTGCTGGACTTTGTTGTTGTTATGTTATTTGGCTGATCTTGGCCAGTATTACTTCATCACCTTGCTATATTCATTCCTCCTCGACTTATCTTTGTCTATCTAAGGTTGGTAGGCATATACAGGCCTAAATTTTGGTATCCCATCGCATTGAGGCTGGACCTTACCGTGGTGCGATGGTTTGTGTGCCTCGGCCATTCATTGAGCTATGCTGGGTGATGATTTTGCACTTTCAGAGCCACTCATGCCAGATTGGTCAATGGTTAGAGGCCAGACAAACTCAGCCTCCTGGTCCTCCAGGTTAGGGGTTGGAAGGAGCGTGGCACCTTATTCCTTAAAATGGACTCCTTGTAGCCCAACGCCAAACCCGCTGCCTGGGGATCAGGTTTTTGAACCGAAGGCTTTGGTTGAAAACTCTAATCGTTCTCCTTTCTAGGCCTGGACAACCTGACAGTATCTTGCCGACGCAATACAATGAATCTCACTTCAAACAAATTCCTGGTGCTCTAGCCACCGCAGAGGATAATCAACGGTGCCGTATCTGCTGCATCGAGCAGGGTGTATAGGGGTATGGATGCTACTGCTCAAACCTTCCCGTCTTCTTATACCCTCTCACGCTTTTTCTCCCTTATGGTCCCGTTCCAACTTCACTTTTACCCCCTCAGTTTTCAACCCCCTCATTCTTGGTCTACTCCCAACATGCTTTGCTAGGCGTTTATCTTCTAGTTTCAACTCACATGCTAATTCCTAAGTGTACGCACATTGCCACAGATCGGTCAACAGGCAGCACTTGACCAAACATTAGAGACCCTCTCGATCGATATCTGCTGCTTATCGGAGACCCGCCTGCAAGATTCGGGCTCTGTGCTGAATCTGCGATCCCCTTCAGGGGACACTAGCAGTATTTTCTCACTGCGCCTATCCGGTGGTGATGCATCTTCGAGCACCGGCCAAGCTGGTGTTGGCATTGCCCTGAGTCCCCGGGCTGAAGCTGCTCTGATTTATCGGATTTCAATCATTAGCCGGATGTGTGCGGTCCGATTGGCTGGCTTGTTCACAGTTTCGAAGTCGCGCGGGACCACTAGGTGTCTGTACATCATCGCTGCCAGCGCACCCAAACTGTAGCCATGCTTCGGTAAACAACGACTTCTACCGCCAACTGACCCGGCTACTTCGTCACAGAAAAAGCTCGGACACTGTTGTGTTGGCGGGGAATATGAACGCACAAGTTGGAAAGTTGTCCACTGATGAAATGCATCTGGGCGGTTAGCACGGTGTATGCTCCCAGTGAGCGGTTACTTCATTTGTGTGAAGATGCCCGCTTATTTCTTGCGAGCACTATCTTCCGACACAGCACTCTCCGGAGAGTGACTTGGCGACCACCAGCCTCGAACCAGTCTTGGACGCAAGTCGATCACATTGCAATCAATTACCGATGGAGAGGCTGCATCCAGAACTGTCGCTCGATTTGGAGCACATGTGTAGACACCGACCATGCACTTGTATGTGCTGACATGCGGATGCGTTTTGGCGGACGCCCACGACGACGCTGTGAGCGCATTGACACCAGCCAACTGACAAAGCCAGCTGTTCTGAATGCGTATCGAAGTACGCTGACATGCGAGTTGAGTAAGCGCTCATTGGAGACAATTGATGGTCACTGGTCACATGTTCACCAGACCTTACTAGCAGCAGGCAAATCCTCATGTGGTATGTCTAATAGCCAACATGGTTATTGGGCCCCTTCGCAGTCCCTAGAACTTATCGATGTTCGCCGGCATGTTCCGGCTGGAAGCGGAAACAATGAAACTCGTGAAAAGCTCCGAGCAAAATTCCGCGCTAGCCTGAAGAGAGACCGCGAATCTTGGTGGTCTCTTCATGTGTTAGAGATGGAAGTGGCCGCTGCTCTCGGTAACCATCGAAAGTTATTCCGTCTAATACGGGAAACGGGCAGCAGGAGACTTGCTGTTAGTGAACCAGTTTGCGACGAGAGTGGGCAACCTATTCACAATTTGTCAAAACTAGAGCGTTGGGCTGAGCATTTTGAAAAGCAATGTAATCGGCTAGAATTGTTTGATTCTTCGACGGCCAGTGATCGCCCTGCTCCGTGTGCTGTCCCTTTAAATCCACCCTCTCGCTCAGAAGTCGAACGTGAAATCGGACTGTTGAAGTTGAACAAAGCCGCTGGACCAGATGATCTTCATCCAGCCCTCTTCAAATTCGGGGGCTGGCTCTTGTTGGTGATTTACATGAATTACAAGTGAAACTGTGGGAGCAGGAAACTGTCCCAACCGACTTGGAGCCGCTCCATTATTGTTCCCATCTTCAAAAGAGGCTCGCGTTCGGAATGCGGCAACCATAGAGGAATCAGTCTGATCTCCATCGCCTCCAAATTGCTTGCCTCCGTAATCCTTCACAGACTGACTGGCGCTCGTGAAAGCCAGATTCGTGAGGAGCAAACCGGGTTTCGTCGGCGTCGTGGCTGTATCGACCACATCTTCATCTTACGTCAGTTGTTGGATCACCGTCACACATATTGGCGGCCCACCGCAGTCGTGTTCCTCGACATCGAGGGTGCCTTCGATTCGGTTGATCGATGTGCCCTTTGGAATTGTCTACTCAGGAAAGGTGTGGCCGAGAAATATGTAAATATTATCCGAGCATTATACGCGCGTAGCACGGGCAGAGTGAGGGCTTACGGCAAGTTGTCGCCAATCTTCAATATCTCCAGCGGTGTGAGACAAGGATTCCCGCTGTCACCTTTCCTTTTTAACTTCGCTATTGACGAAGTCATGGAGATTGCATTTACAGGACATGACTTGGAAGGTGTGGAGCTATTCCTAGGAGAACGATTTCTTGACTTGGAGTATGCAGACGACATTTCCCTCATCTGTGACAGCTCCCAGACGTGCCAAGCTGCACTGGACAAATTAGCACTGGCTGTCAGCCGCTTCGGGCTTTGTTTTGCACCATCGAAGTGCAAAACATTCCTCCAAGATTGGCTGGGATCAGCTCCTGCGCTGACCCTTGGTGGGGATCAGCCAGAAGTCGTTCAGAAATTCAACTACCTGGGAAGTTTTATCAGCGCCCTTGAGATTTAAGATGAGCTCATGAACGGTGTATCAAAATCTCGAAATACTTTTGCTAGTCTTCGCCACCTATGGCGGCGGCGCGACATCCCTCTCGCCGTGAAGGGTAGAGTGTACAGTGCAGCGGTACGTTCGACCTTGCTGTACGCTTGCGAAACCTGACCCCAAGATGGGCGGACATGAAGAGGCTAGTTACGTTCGACCATCGGTGCCTTCACAGTTTGGCTCACATGTGGTGGGAACACCGCTTGAGCAACGAGCGTGTTCGACGCATTGTTTACGGCCCAGGAAAAGGAACTGAATTGCCAGCATCGTCATTTCACGCACCAGGCTCCGATGGCTGGGCCACGTGTTGCACATGCCAGCGCACCGACTCCTCTGACGTGCGTTATTTGCTCACCGGGGATGTGGGTGGAAGAAGAGTAGGGGTGGCCAAGCGATGACTTGGTCGAGAGGAATAAATGCCTTCACTTTTGGAGCTGGCGTCGGTTGGCTCCCTGGTTGAGGTCCAAAAGACGATGAACACGTTTGGCTAGATACACTTGCTGACATGGCAAGGAGCCGACCTCAGTGGCGTTCCTGCTGTGAGTTTCTTTGTCCCTCCCCATCCCTTTTAGCCTCCCCCTCTAACCACGATCTCATTTCGTAGCGTAATATAATTTTACACAATAATTTTTCTTGTTGCCTAGTAGCCGGCTGGTAGCTTACCGGAACGATGCCCATCCGCTGCTGGTAGCTCGGTTGGCATGCAACTGTTGTATTTAGTTTCCTTTTCTTTTATGTGTTGCGGCACAGTAGTTGAGGTGTTTCCCACCTCTAGCTAACGTGTATAATGATGATGAATGAAACGGTGGTATCAATTTCACTCTCGCCCGATTTATTTATCACAGTGGTGAGGGTAGCCAGAAGTCTGGAAATTCGGACGAACGGACTCCAACTGCGATGATGAGGGCAGTCACTGTACATCCTGAAACTTTGCGGGTGATGTATTTTGCATAATCGATCAACTTGATCATTTCAGAAACTGAACAAACGATATCGGTGAGTATTCGTCATCCGTCTCCATTCGTGTGAACTCAATTCCAAGTTCTTTTTGCTGATACTTCCTCCCGACTTTTACATCATGACGTGTTTCGTCTTTGGTTTGTTTCTCGCGGTGAACACCGCATTGTCTTTTATTTTGCGGCTGATACTTTCATCTTCGGTCTTTCAGCCTCGGTGAGAAAAACTTGTCATAGCGGTTAGGCATACATTTTTGGCTTGTTTTCTACATTACAATTGTTACAATGCTATCATAAGGAAAACTTTATTGTAACTGTAATATTCCTTGATTTTACACGTTTGCTTTGCATATGACATACTACCTTTGATCACTTGGCCATGTTCTCTTGGTACGTATTCAACAGCGCGTATTTCAGTTGTCATGTGGACAACAAGACCAAAGAGGCATGGTGTATTCAACTAACATTAACCGTCAATTTTTTTTCTGAACGCACACAGCCTCGAATTCTGCCGTAGTCACCTCGGCCGAGTGACGCCTCTATCTCTTAATTGCCAAGCTTTGTGTGCGACCTTTTCCTGCCTCTAGAACGACCCCCTTAGCTGAATCAACCGAGATTTAACCGCAAAGTGCCTCACGGTTCCGACTGTGACTGCTTGTCACAATACATTCACACAGCGGACGCTACAAACAACGCGAGCAGTGAGTGACGACTAATGCCCGCGTAGATCAGCGTTGCAGGAGTAAAATCGTTGGCCGCGTAAGGTGATCTCTAACTGGAGTTAAAACAACCAATCAACCTGCCACGGAGGTTAGAGGTGGGAGTGGAAAGCACCTGCTACTGCAACTGACCACTTTAAAGTACACTGCAGTTTCAATTGTGAATATGTGTTGCAATCTTTTCACGCAACGAATACTTAGCATAGGCTAACAAATGTTTCCTTCCACTTGGCGATTTTAGTTTATTCCATCTTTTGAATTAACAACTGTGTGGTTGGCTTTGCACACCCGATTTTGTTTTTGTGTGCTAAGCATATGAATGAATTTCCCTTTGCGCTGGTAATAATTGCAATCAGATAGGCCCATGCAACCATTTCACATGTCATTCGCCGTGGTTAAGCATATCTGATGACAGTTGTACGCGTCGGCCTTATTACATCTATACTCCACTGCACTCGTTGTATTGTAAAACGAGTGTCCAACAAATGATCATTGCGGCCCCACTTTTCATGTAGCAGTTCCTTAAGCAATTGTTACATGTTTCGTGAACCCAATTCGTCTCCTTTTGATACTCTCAGTCCACCTAGTTGCAAAGCTAGCATAACGCATCATTCTTCGATCATCTGTCTCTTTTAGTCGTTTTGAGAAGAAAATGCACCCGAGTGCTCAACGTTAGTTCTTTTTTGTCATGCCTATTAATTGACATGGTTTTGTAGGCGCAGCCTGTGATAGTTTCATTAACCACAGCACATCGGATGATCCGGTGAGTTTTCAACCGACTGTATGTTAGCCCAGTCGCGCGTCTCATCCATTCACTTCTGTCTGCCAACAGCCGCAGCGCCATACCAGCAATGCGCATCTTTCCATACATTTGCCAACTGCATTGATGAATGTTATTAATCATCAAAGCACATATCGGCTTGCGCAACGCTTATTCCGCGATGGGATGCACTGTCGGAGTGGATGAGAGGGATGAGATTGTTATGCCATGGGCAAGCGGACAAATCGTTGCGGACGACGGGTTGGGACCGTTTTCGGATCACTCAATCTAACTCGTAATACATTAATTGTAAAACTTAGGTTCCTTGATTTTACACGTTTGCTTTGCATACTACATTCGACCACTTGGCCCTGTTCTCTTGGTCCGAATTCAGCATCGCGTATCTCGGTTATCATATTTCGAGTGGTAGCTTTTTGTAGACTTGGCTTACCTGTTAGAGAAACCGTTCGACGGGCTTCTGGCTTGAATTCTGCCACTGAATTCTGTTTGTGTGGTATGTTGTACACGGCTACTTGCATCAATGTCATGTTGAAGTTGAAAACGTGTGTATTTCTGTGCAGATTGTTGAAAAATATTACTTAAATAAATAAAATGTTTATTCTCGACTAAGCGAGGCACGTCTGCACATGCATGATCTTGTTAAGAGTACAAAATGTGATCAGTTAATGTACAATGGGATTGTCGCATATGTTGCTATATGAATGTATGTAAGTGTGCATGTATGCGTCTTTAGCTGTGTTTGTGGGATTTGTAAATGTTTTCCTGCCTTTTTGATTGTGCTTGAATTTGTCGCCAGTGCTAACTGGATGCTTGATGTCTGTGGACTTGAGCGGTTGTCCGGAAAATAATTGTGTGGCGAGTCACAACTGCCACGTCACAGTGTTGTTAAACGGACATTTGTGACTTTTTATTGGGAGAACGCTTGCCAGGCGAAGACCCACCACGTTCTGGAACACCGCCCCCCGAACTGTTTGCTAGAACGGTGTAAACCCGTACTACCCAGCTGGCACCACAAGGAATTGGTTCGGCTAGCCAACTTGGTTGCGCCTCGTGCGCCGTAGCCAAAGCAAATGAATCCTGAGCTTGTCATATTGTTCAGAATATTCCAATTTTGAATAAGCACGTAAAAGGGATTTTCTGAATTCTCTCTGTACTTGTCCCAGTTCATTGTAGTTGCGTTTTTTTGTGCTAATGTACATCATTCAACAAGGTATCACCCTGGGTCGAGCAAATGGGACATAAGAATGAAGTATTGACTCTTGTAGACAATAATCCTGAATATCAATCCAATGTTCTGATTTGTTTTCGCGGTAACATAACCTACTTGTTCCCAGAAGTCTAGTGTACATGAATATCGCAGTCTCAGGTCTCTTATTGAACGATAGAGATGCATTCGTTTACTGTCAAGAGTCAGGCCGCTATGAGTCAAATCGCACTTGTGGGATATCGCTTAATATTTGTCAGTAGAGAAAACATTTTCCACTTTGAAGCGCATGGAGGTGGAGATGGTTCATGTTAACATCATTAGAGGCATCTGGACGAAAGTGTATACAATTTTGACATCATCAGCAAAGAGGTCGATGCGCTGAATTTTATCACATATAAATTATCGTTCATATATAGTAAAGACAGTGGCGGCCCAAAGACATCGTCTTGTATTCTTTGGTGACACGTGTAGTCTTAGGTTTGTGCTCTTGAACTGGTACCGCCCGCGTCCGTGTGTATGACCTGAACCAGAAAAAAGGGGTTTTCCGTTCCCGTAGGACATCATTTGGGCCATTAGTTTTCCATGAAGCTTTGTGCTTGTCGAGATCAATTATAGTTGCCGACATACCAAAATCATGTGAGGCATGTTTAGAAATTCCGAGTGGCACGTTATGCAGAATCGATTATTCAAGAACGTTTAACTAGAAGCCTGTCGTCTGTAGTTAGGTCCACTTTCCCAGCGGCAACCCTGAAATGCACGTTCTCCTCATATCCGCTCATTTGTACGTAAATCAAGGACACGCTGCCGACGGTGACCGCTTCAGTGGTGGTCATTTATCAATTCAAGTGCGCCTGTGGCGCAACGTATGTCGGTCTAACGGCGCGGCACCTGTCAAGTGCGTCATTGAGCATCACTAACGTTGGTTACGTCATGGTGGCACTGGGGCTATTAATTGTTCCATTTTTGCTCACCTTGTTGACACTGGCCGTCAGCTAGAAGTGAACAGTGTCTTTCGGGTCATCTACAGGGTATCCCCGTTGGAATCAAATAGCTTACGCCTCCGTATACTTGCAACAGCCGAGACAATCGGTATTCAGTTGCTTCAGTCTCCGTTGTGTTCCCAAAAGAGCCTACTCCAGATACTGCAGCTGTCTTGGTCAGCAAAAGTGTAAGACATGGGAGCCATTTGTGCCGGATGGAAAACACAAGTGTTCCCTAGCTAAGATTGCCCGTCAGTTCACAAACCTGGCGGGTACGTGATTTGTTTCATTTAAATTAATTCGATCAATTGTACCCCACTGCAACTTTCCTTATGTAGTTGTACAAGTCTGATGATGAATCACTGAAAACAACTGTTCACCTCTGGCCCCATGTTTTGGATATGCACGAAGTCGTGTTGTGTGTTGTTTCTTAGCTTTACTGAAAGTAGAAACTCGGCAATTCTTATTTTGATTTGTCGCTCCAACCTTTATATGTGTGACTTATTAGGCGATAATTTTTTTGATTCGATCAGGGAGCCCGATTTATGTCACGCCACAGCTGTGATTATCCGAGAATATTCTCCTAATCGGTCAGTGTGATTGTTCCAGTGGCTTTTGGTAAAATGTTGAATTTTGGTCGATAAAGAGTAGTCCACTGGTGCATTCCTTAGATTTTACTCCTAACAAGCTGATAATTAAGTACTTGCGTGCAGCTTACTGACTCGATGGAATATTCTCCTTAACCTGGATGATTGAAATAGGTGCGGTAATTAGTAGACTTCAGGTCCTGATCTGGAGCGGATTGAGACCGTATGGGTAGTGGTAAGCCTCCATGACGTCGCATACCATATACGCTGATGGAGGTGGACGGATCCATCCAGAAATTCACTTGGACCTAACTGAAGTCGAATCACGATGGCTGTCATTACCATGAATATGACGATTTGCATGCTTTCCAAAACGAATGAAAACATTACCAACAGCTGACTTCTGCTTTTGCAATCATTTCGGTTCAAACTAACTATTCCCCCACCAATATATCCTTACTCGTTCTGTACATTTACTGCGCTTTCTGTCTTCGTCTGTTGCACAATCTCCAGCACGTGTTTTCTCTGGCTGTTCTCCTCCCCTTCAGGATCGTCTGTGACTCAGGGCAGCGTCCGTGTTCGCGATACTTCAATCCTTATTTACTTGCTTCTTTCCACACGTATTTGGAAAAACGATGTCTTCCTTACCTACTCAGTTGTCTCTTCCGCATGCCTTGCAACAGTGGGGAACCATCATCAGCCACGTGTCCTCCATGTGAATCTTCCTACTTCATCGAACATCTCCAGAGGTCGCGTACTAATGTAACCGTGAATAATATGCGGACGATTTCCCCTTCATCACGCCTGGTGCATGCTGGAGGGTTAGCCGATTATGTAGTGGACATCGTTTTCAGTATCTTCCTGTATGTGCGTGTCTCTCTATACATATACATATTTATATTCAGCCAAATGAAAGACACGTTTATTCACCTTGTCTTCTGTTTTAACCGCAACTATTCCATTCGAATCGACTACTCATGGGAAACTTGAAATGCCTATGCGCTGTCCTGCTGACCTCCGTTGAGAGAGCCAATATCTCACCTGGAGCTCTGAAACAGCCATTTCATTGTAACAATCATTGCCATCATCTACACTTAGCTCTCCGTGAAGTTTACAAGTATACTTGGTCAAAATATCTTTGAAGGTAGCATCGAAAAATTCCTTACCAATTTGGATATTCGTCTATAATAAGATCTCCTCTGCGTTCCTTACGAAAAACGGATTGCATTGTGGTCGCTGCATATCACACTTTCTCGTCACTTTTGTGATTCACATGGTTATGAATGATCTTTCCACCTCTTTTGGGAACCAATTTCTGTTTATTAACCTACTGTCTAACCTAGCGTAATCGGATGATATAGCTCTCTTTGGATCAGGTCTATCCAACTACTCAGGTGCCAATGGGTAGTCAAACGCGTAGCGCTGATCGCATCACCATGAATGTTGTATATTCGAAGCGTTAAGTACTATTACAGGAGCAATTTAACGTTTGTCCCCAATCCTTACTGCCACCGAACAAGCTCTCAAGTCTATCAGTCAGTCTACCTCGCTGGCCAGCCGTATCACCTCTTGCGACCATATCACCAAAGGAGCCAGTAGTCTGTTCTCCAAGACTCAGCTGATTTATTTGACAACGGAATGTGCTCGTATCAATTAAGGGTATATTTTACAACGCTGTCAGTATATTTGGATCAGAGATGTGGCCACTGCATGCTGTGGAAGTGACTGTCTGACCACCGATGCATACGATGCAGTGTTTCTATTTGGCGGAAGAACAAGACGACTAACGCTGAGTCTTGTCATCTAGTGTTTGGTTCTAGGCCCTGTGACGACGCATCGTTGATGTTTCCACAGAATCGCCTCCGTTGGCCCGGCTGTGTGCTCCACACACACGCAAGCCGCATGTCTCAGTGTGCACTGTTTAGAGAAACTGCACCCGGAGATGACCAATCGATGATGTTGCAATGGGAAATGATGAGACACTACAAATTTGGGTCGTGTTGTTTCTTATCCTTTTGGACAGAGCCTTGGGGACTAGCCACGGCGCGGTAATGAAGTCAGCAACAGTTCTGTATTGGTTTCCTACTCCGTCTGGCGATTTAAATTCCTATTCATTCCTTTTGAATCGTTAGTGTGATGTACGTCAAAGCAACTGAATCCACCGCACTTCTTAACAAGGTTCACGATTGACAAACTGTACTGATCCTAGAGTCCCAAGTTTTTTTTGTTTGTTCGAAAACAGCCCATTTCGCCCATCCGTTCACTGTGCTCTCTTCAGCTCCTGTCTCCACCTTGTTCACTACATGCTCTCCTAGAGCACAGTTGTCTTCATTTAATGTCGCCAATTTGCAATGCATCATACTGATTTATTACAGTATTCCAAAGCAAAAAACCATGCGTATACAGTCATCCATTCGACACTAGTGCGTTCGCGTTCGTTTCACTATCCAGTCTCGTCGCACTTAACGACTTTTTCGAGCTATTGGGACTTGTCAGTAGCGCCCATTCGAGGCCATTGTTTTCTTTGTACGAATCAATCGTTAAGCTGTGCTAGCGACGAACTATCTCCAAACGCCAGAATTTCCCTCAAGGTAACAAGTCGAACATGAGGAACTAGCCGGATGTGTTCAGTGAATTTGGACTTCTTTCAGTTGATGGTGAAAAGTCAGGTGCAATTTTGCTGTTGACTTCTTTATCGCGTTTATCCTCGTGTGGAGATTAGTCAATCCGTGTCCATAAGAGCAACGTGCGTCAGTCTTATCCTGTGTACTCACCGGTCTGGTAATTTCACAACATGCTCCAACAATTTTTGGACACCCACATGTTCTGACTTCCACTGCGATTGAAACAATCGAGTTACGGTCATCCATACCCGTTTGGGACAACCTTAAGCAAATTCGGAGAGGTACGACAAAATCACCATATTTGCTAGCACTACTTTGGGACTTTGTACTGGAACATTTCTGTCATAAAAACCACGAACATAAGTGACCATACTCTTAATTAATATGATCTTGACATAACAAACAAGCAGTAGACGTTAAGACACTTTCACCTGTTGAAGATCATGCAGTCAGAAATGGCTGAGAGCCATGCGGAGTAAGGGCTTCACCAACCAGGCTGCTTTCTTGTCACCCTCATGGTTGCGTGTCAGCAGTTACCTAGCCCCACAGATATCTCAGTGCCATACGAGTTTGGCCCAACCTGTTCGCTGTTAGGTAACAGCTGCGAATTATGTCCTCTTTGTTCTCTAGACAAACACAGGGTGTACTGCGTAGTTCCCAGTTTGGAAGTCGCAAGTGACTAAGATCACTCAACCCAGTGGTCACTTAGGGTTGATAATAAAAATAATAACGGCATATCTATTTCATTGAACTTTCGAGAGGCTGTGCCAACAGGGGACACACCAGGTTTTACAGGGATAGATAGTTTGGTGGCACGGTGGTTAATAGTAATAAGAGGCAACTGCAATTTTCCACCGGTGCGTTAGTGGCTTCAGTCCAAGATGATAGCTCTCTGGTGTTCAGAGGACACTCCATTGATGGTGTCGTATAGCGCCCTCTGAGGATAAAAAGCGAGAACTGCGTTACGATCAGAATCTATTTTGATCAGAAGGCAACATATTATTTATCGGGTAACGTACACTCTGTTGAGCGATCCCGAATCGGTTTTTCTTGATGGGCTGCCTCTGGTATATTCATCGATTGAGGCAATCAGTTGTGCGGATTACGTGGGAAAGCTCACTCACGCGTGTAAGCGTTGCTGCTCGACTGGCGGCGATCGATCAGCTTTCAGACTGTCGGCCCATTTTCGTTCAGCTCGCCCGTTCGATAGGCAACCAGCATGATCGATGTGGTATCTTACCACCACAAACGGAGGAAAATCGTTGGCGATAGTATATGTTTAAACCCAGTGATCTTACGCCAAATGATGAAAAAAGTACAAATAAGAATGAAAACATGAGTTAATAAATGCGTGATCCAACATGGCATTTCGTATCAGGCATAGATTTGGGGAATAGTGGTGCAAGAGAAACTTAAACTGCCGCACTGGCTGGCGGCGATGTAGGCCCAGCGGACATGGATGCTGTGTTGTGACGCTCAACATTTTTGTGTGTGTGTCCCACTCCACTGTAAGTTCCGTTCAGTGAACATTTAGATCATAGAAGACGAGAGAACGAAAAAAGCCAAGTCGGGTGACTGTCAAAATGGCTAGTAATGAAGCGACTGGACTGGGGCGAAGGCAAGAGTAAGTACTCATTACGTGATTGCCTTGTGGCTTGCAGTCTCAATATTGACCGTGATTCACATTGAATCGAACCATGATCAGTTCGATCACTAGGGCCCTAGCTAAAGCATATGGGAATTGCCCGCCCGAAAACACTGCGCGTTTCAATCTCATGTTATCATCAGGTAGAGATAGGAAGCCTCGAAAGCGGGACCATCAGAATGTTAACATTTCCTTTAGCCAGCGGGTCACGACGGGCAACTCTTGGCACGACGGTTAATGACTGCTTGGAGGGTCATTTTTGAAGTGTTGGTTGTGTGATTGGATTGCTACGCTCAATTCCAATGTGGACGCGTTGAAGCGCCCTGCGCTTTGTTTTATGAACGAAAACGCTTGTATATATTTAGGCTGACCAGCCTCTTTGGATTTATACCCCAAATTCACGGTCGTAAATCTGTGCGAACTGGTGAGTACTCCATTTTTATTTGCTACCATCACCAACGATAACAATTTCTTAGCCAGTTTTGCGTCGTACCACTTTATCCCCCTAAAACTGTTATACTTCTACCTTTTATCTCACTGACACTCCTTACTTCAACCACTTATGTGGTTTGCCAATTTGTTAATATTTCTATTGCCAACCTGTGGGACTCGTTAAGTGTATGCTTTTTTACCCGTCATATACCATTGTTCCATTGCTCGATTCGATCACTGGGACCTTAGCTGTACCAGATGGAAATGTGTTGTTGCCCACTCGAAAACACTGCACTCTCCGATGCATTTGGGCCTTATTTGATCTCAACAGGTGTAGATAGCAAGCCTCGAACCCGGGCTCCACTGTTGTTTCTGTTAACATCACCGTCCAGAAGCAATAGTCATCATCATCATTATACACATCAGCTAGAGGTGGGAAAACACCTCCGCTATTGTGCCGCAATACATGAAAGAAATACGTACATACATACATATGATACAATACACAAAGAAACGATGCACATACAGTGCCAACAGAAGACATTGTATGTCCGGAAATAATAACGCTAGTACAAATTTCCAACCGAACACGGATAAACGATTAACGGACCAGACACAACTGCTGATAATTCACAAGTAAATTTTGATTTTTCGTAATACGATTGAGTTGCACAGAAACCTTTCTACTTGCTCTTAAATACAGTCTCAGTCTCAGAAAAATAGATACAACAGTTGCATGCCAGCTGAGCTACCAGCAACGGATAGGCATCGTTCCGGTAAGCTTCCAGCCAGCTACTAGGCAAAAAGAAATTTTTTTATTTATTTATTATGTTTTACCCTACGAAATGAGATCGGAGATGGAGGGGAAGACTAAAAGGGATGGGGAGGGACAAAGAAACTCACAGCACGAACGCCACTGAGGTCGGCTCCTTGCCATGTCATCAAGTGTATCCAGCCAAACGTGTTCACCGTCTTTTGGACCCCAACCAGGGAGCTGTGACGCTCCAACCGAGGCTAGTTCCGAAGTGAGGGACTTCATTCCCCTGGACCAAGTCATCGCTTGGCCACCCCTCCTTTTCTTCCACCCACATCCCCGGTGAGCAAACAACGTACGTCGAGGGAGTCGGTGGGCTCGCATGCGTAACACGTGGCCTAGCCATCGGGGCCTGGTGCGTGAAATAACGGTGCTGAGCGGTTCAGATCCTTTTCCTGGGCCGTAAACAATGCGTCGAACACGCTCGTTACTCACGCGGTGTTCTCATTATATGTGAGCCAAACTGCGAAGGCAC